ACAAGTATTTTTCTGCTGTAAGATATGGCATAGCTCGCACGATTCATCAAGTATAATGATAAAATACACTAGTTTTTAATTTAAACTAACTTATGGGGCTGCCTGTACACTCTAACCCCCTTAAGACCGACAGCGGTAACGTGACATTTAGCAAACACCTTCTCGTGCGTCATAAGCTCAAAAGGAAAGAGAAATACCCACAAAACGCGCGTGTGTGCCATTTGGATTTATCTCCAAAGCCCCACACGACAATGGCCCGCCGCGTTCCCGCTAACTTTAACGAGCATCGCGGGTTGGCAGCCAGCTAGCGGGACTCGTACAACCGGCACTATAAACGTCCAACAGTGACGAGTGACTGGATCAAACAACAATAGACAGGCGCCAGGAGACATCTTCGAAAACCCCAGATTTACCAACGTAAGCACCCGTTCCCTCCCCCTCCTCATTCTGCTTCCTGACGCCAAGGAACACGGAGGAACCGTGCTTTCGTACCGGAATCGCGACAAGCGCGGTACGTCTGATGTATTACAGCATTAGATGCGCGCACAATACTCACTTTCAGACAAAGACAAGCTGCAAGTGCGCAACAATCATCCAGAGCTGCATACAAAGTCCTTGTTCTTTGCTCCAACGTATATCTGAGAGCAGTTGCGACAAAAGGAGCGGGTGAGTAGTAGGCGGCCTAATTAGAAGGAACTGGTCCAGAGAAAAGTCGAGATGAGAAAAAGATGGTCGGGAGCGAGTCCAACAAGTCCATTTAAATATGAATGCCGAAGCCGGCTGGGGGACACAAAGAGTTTGTCGGAAGCCCGAACGAGGGAGCGTAGAGTGAAGCCATTCGTCAGTGAGACGACGACCCATTAACGTGACCCCCTTGGCTGGGCGCGCTTTTTGTCCGCGCGTGTGTACCTATACACACTTTTGTCTCCATGGTTGGGTCCAAAGGAATTTCCGAGTGAAAAATATCGCGAGACGATTTATGGGGCGAGTTATTTGGGTTAGTTGGAAACGAATGGTTATTTTTTTCGGCCGTGTGTAGTGTTGTGTTTGTGCGAAAGAGCGAGGAGTTAAGGAAATGCTACGGGGAGAAAATGAATAAGCAATGTTTGCAAATCATGCTCCATTTGTTTGGGAAACGAGCGTGCAAAAGGCCACTTACAACGATTGCAGGGACATTAGTGCGAGCCTGAAGAGGAGGAGTAGGATAAAATGCTTCTGGTGCCCTGACGGCTAATTACCGGCAAAGTAACGCAAAAACGGCCAAGACCTCGTGGGAAAAGCTTTTGGTCCCTCTTTTATCTTGATCCCGTTATGTCTGGCGCACAAGCTTCATTTTCCTTGTTTTCTTTCACCACTGTACATTAATTTTTCATTTTTATTACGGTCACGGCTCTGCGTTTTGCTCTTTTCATTTTGTCATTAGTGTGTCGCCATTACGCGAGCTCCAGGCCAGCTGGCTCAGTTTTCTCCTTTTTTCTTTCCTGTTTTCATTAAGGTTTTCATGCTCCGGATTGTTGTTACAACTGGTTATTACAAGACATCAAGGTGGCATCTTGATTCGTCCATTATTCTGTGACAGTTCTGCGGAAAAGTCTGGACACTGAGCGATTAAAATAACTTTTTCGATTGAATCATTTTTTGTAACGTATAAAATTTGTTTAATTATGGTCCTTCCCGCTCACGTTTGATACATATTTCTAGAAAAAATTTGTAATTTTTGGGGATATAAATGGCCAAAACATTGGGTAAAGAATGCTTTGTCTTACATTGTGAGGAAAATTTGTCTCACGACTTCGTTTTGTGGTTATGAATTTTGTAGATTGAGTTAGTTTTGGTTACATTTGGACAACGGTCATAATAACTATAAAATCACGCTGTGATTTTCTAAAAAAAAGCTTGTAGGTATATCGTATCCTGGTTACAGATGAAAAAAAAATTCAGTGAATCTTTGTTACATCTGCCTTGAAAAATGTGGTGTTTTAATAAATGTTTTAAGAGAAACAAGAATATAAAGATTAATTTATGAGAATGGCATGAGACCTTAGGTAATCTTAAACACGTTGTAATTCACAACTTCAGCTCAAGGTATGCAACACCCTTTTTTAAACACTGCATCTTCTCTCCGTTTCAGTTGACTGAATGTAAATCCACTGTGAGATATCCAAAAATTCACAATTCAACTAGAAAGATTGTATTATTCAATATTATTTGCAAACGTAACACTCGTAATCTTCTACTCGATGAGATTTCAGGCACGAAAATTCGTCGTAAGTAAAGCGACAGCTGTCGAAAGGATATTTCGAGGTGACTGCGTGGTCTTGCAATTCAGTTGAATCATTGTCAACTTGGTAGACGACAATAAGCCAAAAGCGCCAAGTTTCGGCTCGACGACAACATTGCTGTCACCAAAGAAGCGACTTTCTTGAAGTGGGAACCTCAAGAAAAAATGGCCATACCATCAGTTTTTTTGTTGGACACGAATTATTGATAATAAATTCTTTGCAATCTTTCGAATACCAACTTGTAAAACAATATTTGCTTACACGTTCTGTAATTTTTTTTTTTTTTTCTATTCAAGATGTAAATTTTTAAATAAATCTTACCAAGGCTTGATAAATTTCTGAGCAGTTTATCAGCCTAGCTCACCAAAAAGCGTATGCGAGTTTAAAGAAATAACAAAAATAAAAAAGGACTTCAAAGTAAAATTGTAAGGAACTGGATTGGTCGAAGCAAAGAAGAGCAAGAAAAATAAGAGAACAGATCGATCAAAAAAAGTACTGAGCTTCGGGAGGAAATTGTCAAGATAAAGTGAAAACCGCGTGGAGGAAAAATATGTGGCCGGAAATGACGCCCTCTACATCATGGCCGCGCGTCCGGTTGTTATTGTTGAGGTACGCCAACATGTACATGTGTGCGGGGGATAGGAGCTTAACTGCCTGAAAAGAAGTCTCCCAGCTGTGTAGTTTTCCTCGGAGTTTCGCGCGTCGTAGCACTTTAGAATCCACAGAGCCAAGCTTTATTTTCCATTCAGTAAACTTTCGTGACTGATTTTCGAAGAAAAAAATGATTTTGCAAGTGGGACGCGTGTAGCAGCGCGTTTACGTAATTTTCAAATGGATCTGTCGACGGCGTAACCCTCCAACACCCCTTTTCTCAATTCATACCCATCGTGCGGCTTTTTTTTCGTTTTTATCAACATTTGTGTGTTCAAGCCCCGTGTCGGAGAAAAGCTAGAGGATGAAAACCAGCGCATGGCTTCTTTCAACGCAACAGCAGAAATCCACTTTACTTCCTCGTAGCCTCGAACAGGCTCATCCCACGAGTGCCCGCTCGGTAATTAAAAAAATGACGACGATAAAAGAGCCCTCTTAGCAGATCAAGGTGCATTGAAAGGAAAAAAAAAGGAAAAATCCCGCGCGAGCTGTGAAAAAAAGTTGCACTCGCTGGTGGTAACACGCGTGTGCCCGTCCGTATACCCGCGCAGAAGAGGGTTCTCCCCTTGGCTATATCCTTGTTAATGGAAAACCAGAGCAGCGCGCGTCTTGGACCACAGCTTCCGCATTCGACCCTTTGCTCGAGTACGACAGGCGGCTTTGAATGAAAAAAAGGAAGGGTGAGGTGAAAAAAAAAACAGAGACAAGCAGAAACAAGAAGAATGGAAAAAAAAGTGTGTTCGCGGTGGGAGCGTGATGGTAGGTGGGAAAAGGAAAGGGACGTTGACGTATTGCGCGACGGCAACAGTGGCTATACCCGCGGCAGTGGAAAAAAGAGAAAAAAAATCTCGCGAATGATTCAAAGGAGCGGGGAGAAAGGAGAGAAAATCTCGGGGTGTCTGCGGTGATGCGGTAGCTTTTTCCTGTACTGGGCTTTCAGCGAGTGCTTCGTCTCCGCTTGCGTATTCTCAGAGCGTTGAAATAATTCACGGGAAGTTCAGTATTTTTGACGATAGTTCGAGCTCGATCATTGCCATGGCATTCAAGGACTACTGTTGTCTTTCTCTTTATAATTTCTGTTTGAGTTTTGGTGAACTTGTGGGAGTAAAATTAAAGTGACTGAATGAAAGTGCATATCAAGCGCGAAGTGTCAAAGATCGAACTTGGTAATCGGGGGTTGGATATTTACTCATCGCCTCCTCGAAACCATCTCGAGTGGAATGTTGACTCTTCTGAAAGTGTAAATAATTTGAGACCAAACTTAAGTGATTTCAAAACGTTTTGTTTGATTATGGATATTGAATGCCCATCGCGTAAATTAAATTTACGTTTGAATCCGCGGCTTTTGGCTTAAAGTACGTTTACTTTGAGAAGCACTGGAATGCGTTTACGAATTAATGTATTGGAAATGCATACCTTTTACTTTGGTTCGTTTGATTAAACTGAAACTCATTCCGGTGTTTGTAAATGATATTATGTGTAATTGAAGATGTGTTTTGTAAAAAAAAATTATGGCAACCATTATTTCGAAGGATTTAACAATAGTTTTCTGAAATCTTATGTCACTCTAGGTATACGCATTTTCCATGATTTTATCATAATTAGAGTTCATACATGTTATTTTATTAGCTTCACACACTCGTTAATAATACTGCAATAAGTAATTAGTGACCGACAATAATTATTCCTTCCATCGAAAAGTTTTTTTTTGCTTCGTAATGGAGTCCCATAAAAACCCATGGATCCCACATTATCGTGACCTGTTCATATTACTCCGTCGTGAAAATGTTGAGAAAGACACTGGTTTCAACGTTCTTAATAATCTGAATAATCTGAAAGTCAGAGAATAAATTTATAGAAAAACAACAACTTGTATTTTCTCATCACACCATCACCATTATTTGCTCGATAACAGGGCCGCTTACCTCTATTTTCCAATAACAAAAAAAGTGGAACAAAAGTTAGTCGTATCAAATAATTTTAATAAAATACACATCAAATGGCGCAAACGATATGGTCATACAACAAATTTTAATCTTTTTTCTCGCTTTTTTTCTTTTGTTGCAGCTCGTGGGTGGTGAATTCGATATGGAACTGAACTTTGTGATTCAGGACGCGCAGAACATCAGGCACATGCTGGAGCTCCTCGATCACTGTCCTCCAAATTTACAGGTAAGTTTTTTCTACTTTCCTTTTGCGTGGCTAGAAAAAAAATCTTTCCATTTCCAGGATTCGATTGATTCTGTTAACGGTTTAGCTGAACTGGGAGGCTTACAAATTTCTGGAAAGCGATTGTAATGAAACTTGGAATAAGACTACCAGTACTCTGCAATAAAAAAACTGCCTTTAAAAGGATTCCACCGACACTTAGATATAAACTTTTTTCCCGTCGAGATATTTCCCATGTCGGTGTTTACTGTTAATATTTAAAGCAAGGCCATGTCGCACGAGGAAACCCGTGATGCACTTACGATGTTTTGATATATTTTGCCGTAAAGATTGCACCACGCGTACATAGACAACCGTTCAATTAATGAAATAATTGTTAGAGATCCAAAATCAAAGCACGTGTCATACGTATTGAAGAGTTTTTTTGCTAGATGGTTCTGTCAGTTGTTTCAATAGTCAGAATATTTATGTACGACGAGGATATACGTGTAAGCAAAAAGCTGGGAAAAAATCAATTATTCGACCCAAAAGAGCAGCTTCAAAATCTCGAGTAATGACCTCCTTTGGATCAAAATTTTCATCTAAAAAATAAATTCTCTGTGACAAGACACACAAAAAAGGCGACACGTACGTGTTATGCTAGCGCCTGTTGTCAACTATACTTGGCTTCTCCCGTGCCCGTATAAATGTAATTTTGTTTGGGAAGGAAAAAGATAGAGAAAAAGACAAATAGACCGTCTTGTAGAGTTGTACGGCGTGCATAGAAAGAATTGTGCGCACACACGTGACACATAGCTAGCCAGCTATATAAATAAAATCAACAGTTCCACCACGGCACTGTTTTGCGATGTGCTACTCGTACTCCACCGAGTATGAGAGTAATACAACACAGAACAGTGAAGCGAAGCTTGTTATAGGCTTGCACTGGGCTGATATAGATTCCTTACGTGTAAAATATGGTATCCACCCATAAGAAACGTTATTTTGTTTGTCTTGCTATAGCCAACAGCAACTACGTTTTTTAATTTCTCTGATACTGAATCGATTTCGGCTCAGTCAACGTGCAGCGCTTTACGGGCCAGTAGGTGGTGGATAATAAATTAACTTTACAGCATGGCATGTTAAAAAAAGTTCAAATGAGTAGTTTTTTAACAAAAATTTCGATCAAAAAATTTTTCATCTTGATTGTCATAGTTCTGTAGATGCAGTTTTTATTGGACTTACAATGTTCAAACTACTATACTGTTGGAAAGGAAGTCACAAATCGTCAAAAATAGTTATTCACTTTAAACTTCCATCAAAGTCGAACCAAGGTATTTTATCATTCACTGATCCTTACAGTTAGTTATAAGAACTTACAAATATATTGACACAGATTCCAAATTAGTTGAATCAAGCATAAGCCTTCGTGGAATCGTTCTATCTATGCAAGTTTCTAAAGATTATCATGTCATGACTTGTCAAAGCAAGAAACTCTTTTCATGAGTACAATTAATCACTTTTTGCTTATGCCCAACAATACGTCAATTTATTTTGTTACACCTAAGGTAAAATTCTGATCCTTGTATTGAACCAAATGTCTAAATCCGTCGCCAAGAGACACTGAATCTGTTTGGATCTCATAAAAATTGATAAAAATTAAACGAAACAACTTTTCCCCCTCGATTCTCCCTCCCGCTCATAGACCAGTTGGAAAAGAGTTGCTAAGCTTGTTAAACGCGTTAATAAGAATCGGATGAAATTCATAAGACGTCTCCGCAAGGGAGGAGGGGTTGAGGAGCGAGGGTAGAAGAGATGTGCCCTTCTGGCTCAGGCTCGATGTCGATAACGAAGACCCGAGAGATGGGGAGAAAAAGCCAAGGGAAGAGCCGCGGTGCCGGGAAATTTTCGAGTTGCTAAGCCAGACCGGGAGATTGGGCTGATCCGCTCCCGTAATCGTTAAACTTTCCGGCGAGCGAGAGACAAGCAAAGAGTAGCGAGGAAAAGGGGGGGCCCAAAACTCCCCTCGGCTATCCGCTTTCCTCCCCTTTTCTCCTGGTAGCTTCACGGGAGCTCCGAGCCCACCTCTTTTTCGTCAGCCACCGCCACCGCGTCGGAGCTAAAGTTGTGTTTCGGCTTTGTCTAATCCTTCTCTCTGCTACCCGAGAAAGGCCGAGTCTGCCACCTACGGCTTCTCCACCCATTTTTTTTTTTTTTCTTATTTGGCCTTCATTCGGCTGCGGTCATGTGAGTCTTTGATTTTTCGCCGAGTTTCACAGGGTGACTGTCGAGTTGTTAAAACGCAGACAAGTTTGGACGGGATGAACGATAAATTTGTCGTCAGTGAGCAAGCAAATGTACGTTGATGATTGAAACATCAAAGAAATCGGAGAGTTCACTCAAATGGCGCATCCCATCATCGCCAAGCGTTGGAAAAAAAAAAACACATGAAAGAGACAACGCGAACCACCCCCTCCTCCCCCAAGAACCTACTTTCGGATGAAGCCGTGACAGCGAGCATCGCATCAGGGGGAAAAGAAAAAAATATAAACACGCTCACCGATCCCCAGGGTACCTTTGAAAAATCGTCTCGTACCTCGAGCTCTGCAGTATGCATGGGGGCTCCAATGGAGTGTGAAGAAGCCCGGTGGCGCACGAGATCGAGAATAGACTCTCGTTAGTCGGGAATTTTCCACATTCGAGTGGATCTCTCTTGGGGTACGTATGCGGTCGGTGGCGGTGGTTGCGAACAGCGTAAACGGGAATCTTGGATAATCCAACAGAGACAGGGGTGGGTGGGGTGGGTTTCGCATCATCCCCCGCAGTCGCGCTCCCGCAACTCCTTGAAATGTTAATACTGTTAAGGGAGTTTCCAGGTATCTATCTGTAGTGTACCTTTCGCGTGTATATGTGTGTATGTACGCGCGCTCGATAGCCTGGATGGATATCTACCGGGTCCGTCTATTTATCCCTGTTATGTGTTCTCGGATTTCAAGTACGCGCATTGCTCTCCCGCGTCTCGGGGCGTGTATAGACGGATGGATTTGCTAGCGATTCCAATGTTGGATCTCTCCATCTTCAGCCCCCTCCCCCCACAGGCTCCGGCTAGATTTCGCGCAGCGTACCGATTGTAAACAGTTTGGTGCATGCAAATCGTTGGGAGAAATCGATATGCCGGTTAGCTCTGCTCTGCACGTGTTTTATGTATACCCTGTACCTAGCACTGCGAAGCTATCCATTCTGTGTCCGATGCCGTTGGACGACGCTGTACTCGTTAAGTTGGTCCATTGGATCGCTGTAGAACGACGTTGTAAAACGAGCGTCACATTTGTAATTCGGTTATGCACCGATTGTCTGATGTTTTTAATTGTAACCAAGAAAATTTTTACCACTCGTTCATCTCGTGATTGTGAATAAGTTGAATCAACCTTCATTACTTAATTGGATAGTTTAATTACTGACAACTTTTGTTAGTTGTTTTAGCACATTTTTTGTTACTGCAACAAAAACAACCAATAGCGTGTTAAATTACAAGTTTAAAGTGTGCAGTTGAAATTTTTGTTTTTTATCAAACACATCATAGAGGTGCTGATAAAAATTGGAAGAACAACTAAATCTATGATCTACTAAGTGATTAACCATTTTCATTGAATTGTAAAGAGAAAAACCAATGCAAAAAGCAGTTAGCTTTCACAGATTTAACATACTTACAAGTATATGTAAAATCTGTGACAGAAATGTTTTACTCTCTACACGTCCTCTTATGTCAATCGTTGGAGAACAACAATAGTTCAGTTTAATAGACTACTACAATGCATTTTATAAAAAACAGAAAATTTTAATTGCACGCTTTAAACGTGTACTTCAACGCACTTGGATTTCACAGTGAGGTAACTAAATTTCCTCTTGGTTGAAAATTATATAATTATATAACTGATGGATTTTTTAATATATGTGAATTAAAAACCGTGCAAGTCATCAACAACCAGACTAAACTTCACAAATTTTTTGGGCTGACGTAAAACACTATTTTCAAATCGCTACGAAATTATAGGATTTGGGTTCATATTGATTATCTTGATAAAAAGGCAATCAGTTTTCAGTAGAAATTTCCTCCCAGGGCAGAACTGTTACTTCATATTTTCGTAAATTTTCTGGTAGATCAGAAATAAAAAAATTCAAATAAATAAACACAAAACTGAATGGGTAGCTGTTTTACACGGACGAAGAATGGAATTGATCCCGAAAGCTTACGACTTGTAATGTTTGTTCTCTGTTTATTATAAAAGAGTGTACGAACTTACATCTGACTTAGTTGCAAGGCTGCTTCATCGCAGCCCGAGAAAACCAGAAGACGGACACCCTTACTTGAAATGAGGGCTTGATCATCCTCCGTACTCAGTTCACATCTAGACTTGTCACGCTCTTATTGGCCAATTCGGTTATTGTACGTCTACACCCGGCACGCAGCTTGGTAGGTATCCATGGGTACTTATCGAATCGAAGAGGCGCTAGACTGCACAGAACAAAATTCAACACTGCTAGTGATCCCGTACAAGCAGTGGCTGTACCACATGATAGTACAGCCAGTGACTCCAATTTTGGTGCTGTTAACCATTTTTCAGACCTAAATTAAAAGTTGTGACGATCTCTTAGTTTTTTCACGCCAAATCATCCCTGGAACCGAGTCAGGGGGAGGGGTTGCGTGGTGTACGGGTGGTGGTTGGCAGGGACTTTGGAGAAAGTATCTCGACTCTGAGCCGTCGCCATAGAATAGCACCTTGTAAGAAAAGGATCAGGGAGCCAAGACACACGAAGCGTGTTAAGGACTCCTGATCGAAAAATATAATTGCACAGCAACCTCGACCTCCAGAAGCCGAAAACTTAGAACCAGGGACGGGATTATACGTATGGCATTGCGAGCTCTGCAGGCAAATCGGTCACCGACGCGAAAGTTACTGCGGTCGACCTTGACGAAGCTCGAAAAAGGTGTGAGTGTCCACAAGCCAACAATCCAAAAATTA